GAGAGGAAGTCCAGAATTTTCAAAAAATATGCTTACGTAATATTTGAATGACCCTCAATCAACATAAAATACAAATGTCTACTTAACCCTATGGGACCTATATGCTCTTTTTATTTTCCAAATACTAAAGAGTCCGGGATAGCCAGGCAAGTAAGGCGTTGGCTACATGTCCGACAGGCTATGAGTTCGATTCCCGCGGGCCGAAGACTCCCTGCGCACAAAATGGTGACTGATTCAAGCTGAATCTTTCGGGGTCACAAAGTCCTCCAAGTTCCCATAGTAAATCAATGCCTCTCTTGGTATTGACTTTGAGATTAATCGTGTTCTGGTTCAGGTTAAAATTGTGATCTCCGGATGGATGGTGCGTGAATATGTCCTCCCTGTAAAACGGGATATGAAGTATGAATATTGTCTCCGAATCATTCTCAGGAATGCTCACTAGACCTTCGCCAATAACCCACTGCGTAATTTCAGTGCGATATGATTAAAAAGCATCAAGTATTAAAGCTAATAATTGTTATTCCTTAGAAAAATGGATTTATTATGGTTTTACTTACTACCTTTATTTAAAATACATATAAAGTAGAGATTAATATGTTCAATTTTATTTTATTTTTATAACCGTCGTTGAAGAGTCGACCCAATTTTTTGGGCTTACGACTACTAATGTTAAACTCCGTAGCCTTGTAATTTTGAACACAATCCAGAAGACAAGGGAACTCCTGGATCAAGTATTGGGAGAAATTTGCCTTACTGGAGGACTTTTTTTGATGGAACTAACCTGCATTTACGTTACACGGAGAGGAAGATTACGAAAACCTCCCACGGTTAGCTTGACTGTAAAGGGACTTTAACCCATGATCCGTCAACCACTGAGGATATTTCACGTCAACACTGTGATCGGTGCAAGATGGATGCGGAATTCGTATCAACCAGCCATCGCTGGGATTCGAACCCGGTTCACCTCATTTGTTACAAAATTGCTAATATTCCCTCTTCTTTTGGTATCAAGGTCATTTTTAGGCCTGTTGACAAAATTAAACTTAAGTCTCGAAAAGATTCTATTAGTTTTGAAAATCACTGGGGCATTTACCACATTCCATGTCAGTGTGATCTTGGCTACATTCGAAAAACTTGACGCACTTTAAAATTCCTACTTAAGAAATACGTTAAATATGTCTGTTACCAAAAATACGATAAATCATTAACTGTTGCACATTGTTGGAATCTTGGGAGTAAATCTTGATGCCCCGGGATCTTTTTTTATTCATATGAATGCTAAATCCCTTATTAACGACATTAGTTCTTCTATACCTCTTCATAGCTCGAGGGAATATATTTTACCCTGATTTGCACCTCTCGGCTACTGTGGTTTTTCTAGTTTCGTTTTTCACTTTTATTTTTGCCTTTTTCTCTATCGACATTGTGTTTTTAATTTCAAATCACTTTTATTTCTTCTCATTCACGTCTGGCAAGTCTTGAAAACATGCGCCTGTTTTTGAGTGCTCGACACATGTCGACTGTTATTTCCAATTTGGATATTTTTTCATCAAGTAATATCTTACCGCTTCAGTTTCTTTAGATTATTTATTTAATGTTTAGGTTATAAAGTCTTATAAAAATTCTATTTACTTGAATTTTTTATTTTTTTCCACTGCCTCTAGAAAATTTAATTTATAGAAATCTCACATGTTGGACCGGTATTGTTTTACCGTTTTAGTTTTGATTTCATACCTTCAATTTGATATAATTTTATTTCACTATTTCTTAACAGATTGTATGACCTGTTAAACGAACAGTGAAATTTTTTAGTGTTTACCTATTATTTTTATTTCGATAAAAATTTATATATCGTGGGGAGCTAGAATTTTATGGTGGCCATTTATGCTACTTTAGGGTGGTCACACTCTGGAAAAAAGTATATAATTCTTTGAAGTTATACTAAATTTTATAGGCTTAAATTTGCCGTCAATTTTAGGAATTCAGTTTGCATTTGCATCACAAATATTTAATTTACAAGTAATTTTTGGACAAGAAACTAAAACTTTTTTTCCTACCAGTACTTAAATTTTTCTCGGAAGCGGCTATCCTGTATTGTTTTGAAGTATGCTATGATTATTTTTGAAAGGAAATATATTTGCATGATAATTTTAAATCTTTGCACTCCAATGTCGAGGTAGCGCCATCAACAGTGATCACTCTAAAATTAAAATTTTTTATACCTTAATGATTAGTAACTTCATTATTTTAAGAACTATGCAGAAATACTGTATTGTGTTTTTTAAATGATTTAGTGCTTATATTAGTTCAAACAGTATTTTAAAGTAATCGGAATACAAAGGGTTCAGACTCAGATCTGGAACTTTTTAAGTGCTATCTTAGGAAAAGAATTCTACTTAGTGTCACGTTTGCTACTTATCCAGAAAAATAGACTGGTTATGAGTGCATATTATTTTTAACTCTTTTTTTTTCTCCGGAAAATTAACTATCCGTTGAGAATGTTACAACGAAAAAAGTAGTCACAAAGAAAAAAAAAGGCCAAATCGGTTTTGTAAATTTGAGTCCTTTTTAAATTATATTGATTACAAATACTTCATACCTAATTCCTTTTTTTTTCTTCGGAAGTATACTTACTATTGTTACAACGTATAGAATTACATTTTAAATGTGTATGTTATAACGGAAAAAAAGATTTATTGACGGATAGTACTCCAGAAAGTAAAATCAGATTGAAATGTTTTAAGAGAGAAAAGAGTCGGTACCAATAGTTTTTAAATCTATATTTAATTTCCTAATATCAATTAAATCAGTTCATTTAAAATATTTTCTATTTTGATATAAAGTATTAAAATAAATGACATTATAAGTTTTTCTTTAAAAATTTGCTTTTTTAAATGCTTTAAAGAAGTGCAGAAATATACCGGATTAAACTTTTTCTTCATAAATAATTAACAAAACTTACTTAATACTTAATAAATTTTATTTTCTAACATATATTTAATCCCCTACCTTGTCTTAAAATTATTTAGATTATTTTACTAAACAAAAAAAAAGTTTATAATATAATATGAACAATTACCCTTTCCTTAATCGTTTTTGTTCGTTTAATTTCTTTCTAAATTATACTGCTTAAACTTTATTGTATTGTTTTCTTTTTTCGCATTCAACCCTTTCGCTGTTCGGTAATTAGCAGGTTTCATTCTTTTATCGTTCATATAACAAAAGAGAAAACAAATACCAGGTCATTAGGACTAATTTCATTACCTACTTAAAGCAGCTCCACCTTTTTTCAGAGAGGCGGATTTTAAGAATTAGAAGCACCTTCAAAATTTATGATCTTTAAGTTACATCTTATCCACACTATGCGTATAAATAAAAGAGTCATGACTCAAAACTACCCTTCTTTCTAGATGGGCCATTTATGAGGGAATCATAAATCTTAACGAACTCACCACACAATAAAAGAGGACCCCAAATCGACGTCATATACATAAATTGTAATTTAGAGGTTCTAGTCTCGTTTGTTAGGTGTCACGCCTCATTCCGTTTCTTGTTATAAATTTGAGATGCGTATATGGCAACACTGAAAGGGTTGGCAAGCTATGCGGTTGCTTTAATCTCGTTGAAATATTTGAGGAATTGGAGCTAAGCCTAGTGTGCCTGGCGTGTTAATGAATTTAAAAAATGTCGAGATTGATGCAGTTAAAATTATTAATTTTTACCATGAAGTACCGCAGAGACTCTTATTCTTTTTTTTAATGGTTTTTTTCGAATTCTTCCATCTAATTATTTCGATAACTGAATTATTAAAGTTTTTTCTATATCTGACAGATTACAGCACAATTCATTTTTGAAATAGCCTTATCTAAAATTTCTATTTTATTTTTGGTAAGTAGGGGACCTAAAGTTGTTAATCTATTGTAAACTATTTATGAAAAATGTTTTTTTTTTCTTCAAAACGAGGGAAAATTTAACGAACAAATTTTTTAAGCCATGCTAATATCTCTATAATAAATTGCAATGCATAAATATCAACATTTGTTTTCCAGATCAATAATATGGCTACGTGTGTTTTGAAATAATATCTTTAAAAAATTTCAAATATGAAATGAGATAAAAACTAAATATATTGTTCAATATTAATTTTTTTAAAGAAAAATTCTAATCTTTCTTAGTTTAAGTACAATAAAAACGATAAATTCACTCTTAGACATTAGCTTTCAGTTCAAAATATAGCTAATATTAAGCAAATTATACGTACAAAGTTTCAAAGAATTCTATATTAAACTCTTTTTGTAATGCTCGTTAGCGTCAACAGATTTTCTGAAAATCAACTTTTTTCTGAAAATACATTGAAAATATTTAATTGCTAAACTGTCTTGTCTATCAGCATGCGAAGAAACAACCACAACTAAAAGTCGGAGAACAAAGATTTAAAGAGATACAGAAAACTATTGAACAGAATTTCAAATTATAAACAATAATAAAAAATTTTCTTTTAAAAATTGTCGATTTTTACATAGTAGTATACCTTAAGTTCTTTTTGATCCACTTGTTCGAGTAATAGATGCTGTAAAAACAAACGTCATTATAAATGTCTATTATAAAGATCACTATAATATATATAATTACAATTATAAAGGTAAAGGTTGGTGTCCTATGAATTTAGGCATAATATTATATAGTTTAATGCTGCAAAAAGAGGAAGTTACATGGAACATGAGTGACTTTGAATTCTCTTGCATCAATAATTCACACTCAAGCTACGATAGTTTTTATGTGTGGGTATAATGTCGCTAAACTAAGTTTATTTATTTTTTGTTGTAAAATATGATGTTTGTAAAAACTGCACCATCACGTTGTTTTGAGTTTTGCATCTTCACTAAGTGGCACACTTCTAAACACGCCTGCACGAGTTTGATTGGATGAGCACACAGGCACCTGAGCACTTGCACCAGATGCAATGACATATATCTAACTAAATAGTTATTCCATCATAGGCTGGGATGGAAGGTCACATCAAGGATCTGCTTCAACTGGATATGGATCTCAAGCTCCACCGCCCATCAAAGGTTATGACATCAATATAAGAAGAAGCAGTGCCTCAACGAGTCTTAACAATGAGGGAAACACAGGGCAGCGTGATAGCACCCGTGGTGATGCTGGATTTAGTGATCCAGGAAGAAATACTTGGAATTCTGGATCTTCTAGGAACTTGACAAATGATGGTGCAAGCAGGGCCGTTTCAGGCAGTTTCGGGCCAAATCGGGGGCAGGCATCCTCTGGGACAAGCTCTGAACAACAAACCAATGGTTCCGCCGGAAACAGAAACTTAAGCTCAACTAGAAACGATGGAATAAGAGGAATTACAAGAGGATTAGGTGGAACGCGGACCACGCCATCTATCGGTGGAGTTTCAAACCCTTATGAAGACAGCTCTAGAATTAACCAAAATTTGAGTGGAACAAAAAAGGATAATGATAAGAATAAGGCTGTTGAGGATAATTCAAGTTTGCCTGGTTCTCATATTAAAAGACCTACTTCAAGTAGTGAAGCGGCTGGAAACTCTGGCTTAAATCAATCTTCCGAAGGAACTAGGGCTCCAATAGAAATAGGGCAAACTGTTGGAAGTTCTAGCAATACCGATCAACCTGGTGATTCTAGAGTAGAGGGAGCTGAAGGACGTGTAAGAAATGGAAATGGACAAAGAAGTCGTGCAAATAGCAGAAATCAATCACGTGAGTCATCACGACCTGGTGCAGGTAGTAGAAATCGTTCTAATGGAGGAACTGTTGGTAGAAGTAGAAGTACTGGTGGTATAAGTCGAAGTCCACCCGTTAGTTCTTCCCAATCTGGTGGTAGAGTGCAGGGTCTAGGAACGAAGGTTAAATCTAGCGATGCTGATACTTCAAAAGTTACGTCAGCTGGTATTGTTGGAATAGTAGCTAAAGAAATTCCGTCCACCGGTATGTTTTTACAAAATGATACGTTTGCACTAAAATATTAGCAATCTGAAGCAGTTTTAAGCTCACAAATATTTTTTAATCAAAATTTAATGTTATAGCTATTTAGCAGTACTTGTAAAAATGCCCAAAAAGTTTAAATGACTGTCCTATGTAATTTTTTTGCGCTTTTATACTCGCGTTGCATTAATTTTTAGTTGACTCTGAGATTAAAATGATCAGAGTGTATCAACCAATATTTCCTTTAAACATATCGATCATTTTAGCCATCATTACATTAGAATTCATAAAAATGCTTTGCAAACTGCTTATTTTTTCCTCTGCTTTGTCTTTAAACTTAACGCAGCAGAAAATAAGCTAAAATATGACAAATTTACGAAATCTTCTTTATTTTTTAAATATTTCTATGTGTCATAAATCGATGCTCGGGAAACGTTGCGATAGAGTAGATAACTTTTTTTCTCTCTTAATTAGAAAAGCATATCATTTGATTAGTTCAAGAATTAACCAAGAGCTTTCTGATTCGCTCAACAGAGGAAAAAATATTTCTCACATTTAAGGAAATGTATGGCCTATATATTGTATAGTTCAGGAATTTGCTATAAAGTTCCTGAACAGAGTAATCAAAGAAATTTTATGAGATTAAAAAAACATGTGCCCTATCTATTATTTAGTTTAGGAACTCGCTAAGGAATGGGCATAAGCTGATGTAAAAAGCCATGCGTACTCTAGCTACTCATGGCTTGATTGCTCATGCTTATTTTTTTTATTCATGTGATACAATTCACAAATGCATGGATACTTGCCTATATGAGTTGTGTTTGTAAAAATCGCATATATTTTCAGTCACAATTAAATATCAAGAGCAAAATTCGAATAAAACAACGATAAAATTGAAAATCAACAATAAAAACGAATTCATTTTACACTCAAGTCTCAATTGAGAAGTAGTAATTTCAAAATTAAAAGTAGTAGTTTAAAAATGAAAACATTGTATGAACAAATAAATAAGCCTGTTACAAATTTTCAACTTTTAACAATACTACTAACTGGACCTAAAAATTTAAAATTTCAGTTAGTAGCTAGTGGCTGGTAGATTCTATTAACTAAGTAGCCACTTTTCCCTCAAACCTAATGAGTCGGTCACCGATATCGATACGTCCTTTTCATTTAATAGACACTTTTTGCAACTTTTTTTTTATCACTTTTTTTTACTTGGATTAAATTATATTTTCAAAGAAAAAATTCATATTAGAAGCAATTTCGGCTATAAAAAGTCAAATCAACAATAAAAATAATATAAATATGTGGCAAAATTGAGGTAAAATATACTGACTTTAAAGAATTTTATTAAAAAATATCTGGGGAGGCAAAATACATTTAATGCATACATTAGAACTTTGAAATATATAAATTGTTAAAGAACTCCATTTTAACGAAAATTCTGTTTTTCAGAGTCTTTCTGCAGTGATGTACTTTTATTATTAAACGATTTAAAAAAGAAACAATGGGAAAAAGAGGCCTATTGTTTATTTAATTTAGGTCATGATTTTTTTTCTGACTCGCCACGTGGCGAGTGGTAATTTTCAGGTTTACCTCTAAACCTGATAAAAAAAAGGTCTAAAATTATAACGCAGGTTTTTAATGCAGCCTTAATTCAATATATCTCGCTCATGGGCTGCAATAGTGGCACAACTAAAAAAACACGCGTTTTGGACTAAGAACAGGTGTCAATATTAAAATACACATTCTTTCAGCAGCAATACTATCACAACTCATAATTAAACTGGAAGGTAATCTTCGTTTAAGCAAACTGAAGCATTTCTTATGCATTTGCCATAGCAACGAAAACTTTAAACCCACTTATCTCAAAACTTTATTTTTTGAGTTGTGTCGCTATTACAGCCCATGAGCGATGTATAATATATTTTTACTCTTTATTAAAATTTTGAACAATTAAAGGTGATGAGTTCTGATATGAGTTTTTTTTACAATTTCTTTGAAATTTACTACAATAAAAATAAGATATTTATAAGTCAACCCTATAAAAAGCTGAATATTCATATACACTCTGAATAAAGCTATATTTTTTAAATACTTCACGTCAATCAAACGCTTTAGACTTTGTACTCCTATCTAATTAAAATCATACAATTATCGTCAAATCTAAGCAAAAAATATGTTCCCTTTTTAAAAAAAAAATCCTCCTGTCTAATTCACGAAGCCGATTAACTCAGAATAAAGCAAATCGTTAATTAGTACCTTTCTTGTTACTCGGCACATCTTTGAACGAAATCCTTTCATTTAGCATTTTGCTTGTTACGCTATAAACCTTCATAACCTGACGGTACAAGTTCAAAATGACTGACAGCATCGTCTTTGCCCCTACCCGAAAACTTTTTTGCCCCATTATTACATACATCTCTTGTAATAAAAAAAAAATGTATCTAATAGTTTATGTTTTTATTTCAGGCGAGGAAAGAAAATATGAAACGCCAATCTCTCCCGGTGAGTGCTATTTAATGTTTTTTTTCCTTCCCATCCGCCATTTTTTTTCCTTCTTTCTCCTTTCTTTTGAACAGCAATCAATTTACTTTCCATAACTGGATAAAGACCGATTTAATGGATGTCACAACATGTCTGATATTTTTTTCGTGCTTTTAAATCTTTAAGCAACATCTTAAGTAATAGTTTTCTACAAGTTCTTGTCATATTTTCAACAGAATTTGAAGACTGAACAATTCAGAGCACCGAACTTTTTCTGTTTAAAGGGCACATCCCCTTTTTACGTTTCAGAGATTAAAGTGCTTTATTTTGCATGCATCTCAGCAGAGATTGAAACGTTAAATAGTGCCAACCCTAATTGTAATAAAGTGCCTTTTTCACTATTTAAGTGTATTGTATACAATATTAATTTATTATTAATGTTGCCGCTGATTTTTTTACAATGAAATTTGAGGTAGGGTTTATTTTCATGGCACCCCACAATGTTTTAAGTGGTGACTAAATTTCTCCATAAGTTTAGAACCTCACGGCATGATTATGAGGTCTTATATAATTATTAAAAAATAGTGGTAAGTATAATAAAAAAGTAAAATAAATTTTTTAAATTTAATCTGTTAAATCAAATACAAAATACTAAATCGCAATATTTTCTACCACTTTAAATATTTGAAAACAGTCTCTTGTAAAAATGTGAGAAGTTAGCATGTAAGTATGTTCATAGATAAGTTTGATTTTTTTTGAATAACATATTCATATAGCAGGTTGAAATTAAGAGAGGAAGGAGAAAAATTTCGTAGCAGCATTATTACTATTTACAATTGTACATTAGAATAGCTTTTAACTCGGGTGAGGAAAAAAACAGTCTTCAATATGTATGTTATACCTGTTAAAAATCATATAAGTAACCTAGATAAATAAATTTTCCCGAAAACAATCTATAATGAAATGAATATCTTGATCTATATTAGGCCTACCTAAAAGTTCTGTAATCAAGAGCACAAGCCTTACTAAGCAAAATGCTCTTTTATGAAAAAAGTAGTTGGGTATTTATTGTTAACTCAAGAGTTATATTTTAGTTTAAAGAGACATGCATATATGTAGCAAAAGAGCACGTGAATACATATTCAAACGAAAGTGTCCAACAGAATTAAGTGGTACATATGATATATACATTTAAGAGTAAATTCCCTACCACTTCTTTTTATAAGGGCACCTTTTGCATCCTTATATCATGGGGTGTGTACTTTCAAGGACAAAATTTTCGGGTAGCTTTAATATAAACTTTCTACCATGGGGCACAGGATGGCTTATGCTCCGATCAGAAGAAAAAGCTAGTAGTTAAACCGTTTCCATACCTGCCTACTTCCATTCTTCAACAATTACAGACAGACGTATACTGATTTGATAGTATTCTAATTCTTAACGCTGTAAAATATGTATTAATATAAATGCATAATTTATATTTTACGAAGTGGTAGTCAAAATTATTTTAAATTATATTTATAAAGTCAATACAGAGATGCCAACTGCTCCGGACATGCCAAAATAATTAAAAAAACGGTAAATAACTGCGAAGTAAATTTTGCAAATATTTGACTATATTTGCTTGTTTTTTAATGTATATTGCTTGACACAATTAACATAAAGTGGTGAATTATATAAGCTTACTAATTATTTAGAAATAGTGGTGGATAAAAATCTACTAAATTGAATTTATTAAACCAAGAATCACAATTGATAAACTACCACTTTAAAATATATATTTGATGTCGAGAGCAAGTTGGCATCTCTGTCAATAATTAAATAGAGACACATAACTTTACCTTTTCAAATGCAAAAATAAACACCTCCGGAAAAACCGGAGGAATTGGCAGCAATGCATTTTATATTTAGCTTATTTTTTGGGGAAATGAAGAACCTTTGCTTCTAAGACTTACTAAGTATTGTAATGCATACCTGCCAACTTTTACTCTTTCCGGGAATGAATTTTCAGAGTGGTTGTAAAACAATAGACGAAAAACAATTTGACTCAAAAATATATTTATATTTTGATCCCGTTGAAATTCGCTTGCGCAAGGATTATTATGCTTTCATATATTTATTGCAATTATTTATATGTAGTTGTGGTCAAACTAATTTATAATTATCATTGTAATTCAAAAAGTTAATTGGAATAACCTGAGTATTACTAAATATGAAAATAAAATCTTCCGGAAAATCCGGAAGAGTTGGCAGGTTTGGTAATGTATATACAAGACTGATTCAGTGAAAAATAACTGTTACTGTTAATATTCACGGATATTTATTCCTTGCAAAAAAAAGAAGAAAAAAAAAAAAGAAAGCAGAAATAAAAAGGATTTGCTATTAATTTTTTTCCGGGAGTACAAGCAATAAAATCAACAGTATCATCAGTCATAATCCACCAACATTTACGATGTTATGCAAATATTAAAAATTGGGTGATAATGTTGTGATGAGTTGTTTATTTCATATTTCCCCAATAAACAATCTACGCAATTTTCTTTAAATTTTACATGATTCTGTTTATTTATTTCTTATTGATGAATTACTGAGTGTTTATGTGCTTATTTTCATTAGAAACAACTTTCCGATGTCCTCAGCCTCGAGGTCTCTACCCCAACGCCCTGGAGTGCAGTCGATTCTGGCTATGTAGAGAATACAAACCATCCCTTCTCAAGTGTCCGACTGGTCAGCTCTTCGATCTCGCTACACTCTCATGTACAAGTCCAGAAAAAGCACAATGGTATTTATTTAATAGTATNCACCAACCATTTACGATGTTACGCAAATATTAAAACTGCGGTGATAATGCTGTGATGAGTTGTTTATTTCATATTTCCCCAATAAACGATCTACGCAATTTTCTTTAAATTTTCACATGATTCTGTTCATTTATTTCTTATTGATGAATAACTGAAGTTTTTATGTATTTATTTTCATTAGAAACAACTTTCCGGTGTCCTCAGCCTCGAGGTCTCTACCCCAACGCCCTGGAGTGCAGTCGATTCTGGCTATGTAGAGAATACAAACCATCCCTTCTCAAGTGTCCGACTGGTCAGCTCTTCGATCTCGCTACACTCTCATGTACTAGTCCAGAAAAAGCACAATGGTATGTGATTTATTTAATAGTATTAACTGCAGTTTTGAAATAATGAGGATAAGATTCGATAAGTGTATTTTTGTTCTAAAACTGATTTCCTGGTTTAATTCCTTCCAGTGTAATATAGCCAGTTCAGAAACACAAATTCAATAAATGTTACACAGGGCTAGAATTTCAAAACTAATTGTTTTTAAACGTTTAGCAACCACTATTCTTTAACCAACAAAGAACTAAAGTATGTCACTTTACTTTGAATGTGTTTTTAAGGTTGTGCTTGCTAATATCCTGCTTGACTAAAGTTTTCAATCGAAGCTTTCTGGTTTGGAAAAAGGGTATTACAATTCTGGAAATTGTTTCAAGGGACCCAGTTTGTTAAGAGGATGCCATACCGTGGGCGAAACATTTCAAGGCAAATCCTCTTTCACCTGCATAAATAAATCAAAATTTATAGTTTAGAGGAAAATGTGTTCAGGTAAACCTAGAGTGATCCACAAAGTTTTAAATGCATTAAAAAAATTTAAAATATCAAAATGCAAATTATTACTGGTTAAAAATATCCTAATTCTCGGAACCCCTGTCATCCTCCCACGGAACCCTATGATTCCGCGGAATACCTTCTGGGAAACACTGGTCTAGGTTTATAAAAATTGCTAAAATTGGAAATTAGTCATCGATTTTTGTAATTTTCATCTAGGTGGAAAAAAAATTACCAAAACGGACTTAACATCAATTGGCATTGGCAAAAGAAGGAAAAAAACATAATTTGTTGCATAAAATAAGATAAATTTTTTCTTCGTAACGGATTTTTAGCTATTCAGTATAGTTATTATCATTTAAAGACAGATTTTCTATTGTAAAAAACAAAAATAGCATTATTCTTTGAAATGATCAAAAATTACTTTTCTCTTAATGTCTTTATTCCAGTAAAATAAGCACTTCTTAATGACAACTAAACCAGGAAAAACCTAACGCGTTACATGTTTAATGCATATTATCTACATAGATTATATGCGGTGTGCTGCGTGATGTAGCGCATTAACTATAAACATTTTAGACATGTATAAAGACACCTGCAGAGAAGTGACTCTGACATTGACTAAACTATGTGATGAGCAGAACAAATGCTCCACGTGATGCATTGCTAACCCTTAGGCTGCCTGGATACATAACTCCTTTTTTTATTTCGCATGTTTTTCTCGTTTAAGTAAAAGCTTTAATCATAATTCTAATAAAAAAAATTCACACGTATTTTTAATTGGATTAATAGAGTAGTCACATATATTTTGATATAGCATTAATTTTTTATTTTTGTTGTTTTGTTTTTTTATTTATTTGCAAATAGCTTTCTTGTTTTATAATTCTTGTTTTTTTATTAGTTTTTTAGTTTCCTTTTCTTATTATTTTTTAAAGTTTTAAACATAATTCCAAAACAATTATACAAAACTTTATTTGGAATGTGTACACAACTTGTAAGATTAAGTTAAATTTTTATTTTGTTGTTCGGTCGCAAAGCTTCTTTGTTTTTGTTTTTTGCTGATTTATTGAAAAGCTTTAATGAAATTTCCAATAGAATAATTCAAACACAAGCCGGGTGTAGAATTCGCATCACCTAGCCTGGATCACATTATTACTAGGCGAGCGCTCTATCTCCTAAACCACCAAAGCTCAATGCCATATATTGCCAATATTACATATATTGCCAATATATAATGCCAAATATTATAAGATTAAATTTCTATAATTAAATTATTTAATGAGCTTTAAGCAATTTGGTGATTATCCGCTTTTTCCCCCTTGACATTTGCAACATTTTTACTTTAAACTGTTCCTTAGCATTGCTTTCAAATAGATATTTCACAAGTTTTAAGAACTTTAAATAGTTTATATTCAAGATATATGAGGCATTTTCTAAATTAAGTTTTGAAATCAAGTTAAAAACAATTTATTAAAACCAATCCTTATTTTGATAAGAAAGCATAAAAATATATGAATACGTGAACATATATATATATATATNATTTCATTTGATTCTGATGATTCCTTCATGGTGTTGCATTTTCTACAAACAGCAGTTTATTATGAACCAAAAATTTCCTTATATCATAAATATACCTTACAATCCATTGTTAATGACCTCTTATTACTTATTCATTCAATTGTAACAAAACAAATGATTCCATGAAATCTTTGTTCTTTTTCAGTTCCTCCATTTCGCCAAGAACGTGACGTCACTGATTCTGCCTAACTCTTTCAATTATTGGCCAGTCGAAGGATGACATCATAAATCGTCGCTTTCCAGTGACCTTTGTTACGTGTCTCACGTGGAGTACCGAAATTTTAAAACACGAAAGCTTTGATGAATCACTTCTCTAACCATCATTTAAGCTTCTAGAAATCTAGATACTTCACATAGGTACTTCACTGGCGCCGACTTGGCGTTAACTTGCATGACAGTGCATGCGCAGTTGAGCACTGCTTACTACTGTGTATATAAGTTACGAATTAGGAAGATTTTTTTGTATTTTATTCCTTTACTATTGAATTGCACCGGAACAAACTCATTAGACTGCGAACAAATTGAATTGGGATACATCATCTTTGTGTCTACGGGTACAGACCATAGACTGATTTCGTGTTACACTTGGACTACTTTTGTGTGAATGTTTTATTTATATCTGTACCAATCTCTTTGGCATTGTGATATAGGTGTTTAGTTTATTAATATATTTTGTAAAATAAATTTAAATTTGTACAGTTAATCATGTTCATTACTCTATTGGGATAAACCTGTAAACTTCGGAGATATGATTAGTTTCTATGCTATATATTTTGGAAAGCAAAGCTCCCATTGCAACAGGGGTTCGAAAAACCTATATTGGTCTTATAAAATATTTATCTAGGCGTATAGATATTATTAAATATTAGTATGGCATGGTTTAAACAAGCAAAGAGTGACTGATGTTTTCTAAAACGTTAGTAACCTAAATTTTAAAAAAGACAAAACTTCCTTTTTTAAAACCAAATCATATAAGTTTTACAATGAAAAGTTATTTAAACAGGATTGTAATGATTTAGAATTTTTTTTAAATTGGTAGTGAAATTGAGAAACATATAGATATTTTAAATTAATCGTACCAAGAAAAAAAATTCCAATTTAAATAAAATACATGTAAGTGAATATTTTAGGAATGATTTTGTAATACTTAAATGGAAGCTAAATTCAAACAGCTTTTATTAGCCTAACGAGAACTTACCTACAATTTATTGATTTATTCCAGACTCATAGCAGAGTTGATTAATTTCCATAACTTAATAAGGGCGAAGGTCTCCAAATTTTTTTCCCCAATTAGATGGAGACCTATAATACAATAATTTCCATCGTGAAATTTATCTTAAAAAAAGGAATTCGTAAAATTTATGTTGAAAACACAAATAATTCGTGAAATTTAATTAAAGAAACAAATCATTCCTTAAATTTTCTTGGAAAAACAAATTATTCATGAAATTTATAGCGGAAAAACAAACCATTCATGCAAGTTTATTCTGTAAAAAGAAATCATTCGTGAAATTAATATTGAAAAAACAATTCATTCGTAAAATTCATCTTTGAGAAACAAGTCATTTATCTTGGAGAAGCAAATCTTTCTTGAAATTTTTGTTGAACAAACAAATCATTCGCGCAAATTTATCCTAGAAAATTAAATCACTCGTGAAATTTTTCTCGAAAAAACAACAAATTATTCGGGAAATTAGTCTTGACGAAACAAATCATTTGTGTTTACCATAACATATTAGGTTAATTATCTAAATTTGGATTTCTGAAACTTGGCAACAATATTTAAACACTTAAGTAGTTGCCAATCTAAAAATAAACCCAAGCATAAATGCACGAGCCAAAAGGTACATAAAGGCACTTTATGCATCACTATAGGATGTTGCGTTTCCGTAACAGAAGTCCTAAATGGGTTACAAACTTTTCTCTGGTATTCATATAGTTATAGTTACAGTTGAGTTCCCAACATTTAAGGTGATTGAGATGTAACAACTAATGTTGTCAGAAGTTGTTAATTTCACTATTACTTTGAAGATCTTAATGAGATTATATGGTTTCCGTTCACGTTGGCTTATCTTCGACTATTGTATGCATGCCAACTTTCACTCTTTTTAAAGATGACTTACTCGAGTGGTAGATAATTATAATAAAATATTATTTCGTTTTGTCACAGCTTAAGCACTCCAGAATATATCAATAATGCATTTGTAAACATTTTTAATCCCTTGACATTCGAAGACGTCTGGGAGACGTCATTTGTTTCTTATGTAAAAACAATAATTGACGTGTCTCAGACGTTGCAAGTTGTTGTTTACAGTGCAATCAAAGATCATTTCTATATCAAGAAATGATACGTCGATGGGTTAATGCATATACACGTAGTGGTAGTCAAAATAATTTTAAATTAAATACAAAAATTTTTTAAAAAAAATGGAAGAAAATTTTTTATATCCCTTCAAATGCTAAAATAAAATTTCATGGAAAATCTGTAAAAGGTAGCTTTGGTAAAACAGTCCTGAGTCGACACTAATAGATAATTTATTGATAATATACATTGATATATTATCAATAAATTATCGTTTAGGTCTTTCTTAAATATTTTATTGGCCAGAGAGTTATATTTCTTAATTAAATCATATTTGAAAAAAATTTATATAATTAAATCTGTAGAAAACAATCGATATTTTTTTGTGTTACGCTTAACATTCACTGTTGAAAAAATGAACATTTTAAACCGTAAGAACCGTAAAATTTACGAAGTAAATCAAATTTGTAGTCTTAACGGCATTTTAACATTCAAAAACAAGTTTTTTCTACAAAAATTACGGAGAAAATCCGTAATTAGACAGGTTTTTTTCTTATCTTAAAACAAGTATTTACAGCAAGAATAAATCTGTTGTCTCAACAGACATTTACTATGAGGGAACAAGTTTTCACTGTAAAAGTTATGAAGTAAATCTGTACTCACTCTACAGGTTATATTTTATGTCGGCAGAAATTGTAACTACCAGTCATCGCTGGGATTTGAAATCGCTTGACTTCATCAAGAGAGCCTGCTCTGTCCCTCAAGCCACTACGGCTCAAATTGCCAATTGTGATATTGTAAATATTGTATTAATTTGACAATAAAATCGAATCGGAATTCTATTTATACAATGCTCAAAAACATGAATTGCTAAAAAGTAAGAGTGAGTATAGAAATTATGCGTAAAATGTTTTAAGAGAAGCTAAAACTATATTATAGAACCCAAAACAGCATGGCAAAAACTAGAATTTTAACTGACAGTTTTAATCCGTTTGTGATTATGATGGAAAATGGCGAAAAGCCGTTTTGTCAACAAAAAGGTTTTAGATTGTTAATATATACGGAGAAATTCTGAAAAAAAACAACGGGAATTTTTACAATGCACTGTATTCAAATAAGCTAGAAAAAACTATAGGCTGTTTATTTCATTTACGATTTGCATTTTTATACATTTTAAATGCTTATACATTTTTAAATTGTTAATATAAAATAGTAGATATCGATGGATTTAAAAAAAATTAAATAATTGAATTTTGTTGTTAGAGCTTTGCACTTTTGTTTTCAATAATAATTTAAGAGCTTAGTGGAAGAACCAGGTAAGAGACGTTCTTAGAGTGGCTATTATCAGGGCAAGAAGAATGAAAAAGTTGTATCTGAACTATATTATGGATTTATTGTAAGACGAAGGCTAATAGTTCTTTGTCTTATTTCATTTACTACTACTCAATTTGAAATAAAAATCATGTAAACACACTGAAAACTAGTGTGGATTAGTAATGTTAAAATTAAAGTTAAACCAAAGTAAATAAATAATTCTGTTACATTAACATAACAGTATTAATGCGATCACTTTATGGTACTTTCCCTGATTAATAAATACTCCTAAAAATGTGACTTATCTGTGTCTTCCATTAAGTTTTACATTTAAGAATGAAATGGAAAAGAAAAACATCTATTACCACTTTAAATATAAAAATAAATTCTTGTGGAAAATTGCCAGGTACAAAATGCCATTTGTAAATGCCATAACTTGAATTTGAAAACTTAATTAAGAATTATTTCAATTATCACAACAAGTGCATAATGGTATTACTTAGGTGTGTTAGAGTTGTGGCAGATTATAAAATTATATTTGTTTATAACCAATGTTTCAGTTTACATTTTACTACCACTTCAAAAAATTAAATTTGGAACGAGCAAAAGTTGGCAGTTATACATTTTAACCCTTTTCAACAAAGTGCGTTTGGTCTGGGACAAAACAAATTTCCCTAAAATATCCGAAACTACTAGAAATGGAAAACTCTTTGCATCTACATATTCACCGTTTAGTATAAACTAATTTTCAAACAACGCAAGAGTTTAAATATATCTTTTAACTTGGAATGCGCTGTTTACATTCACAGTAGCTAATGGTTGGCAAAAAGTTTCACTTGAAATTACCTCTGCTGGAAAAGGTTGAAAAGCTAAAGTCCGTGTTTGTTTCTGCAAAAAAACTTACAATATTTCAATGCAGTTATTTATTTCATCCTGTTATTGCAAGAAGCTTTTGTAAATACACTATTTGATCAAACTACTTGAAGGTCTAATAAATATTTTAAATGCAACATTGTATCTTTGTGTTTCTTTCATAAATGTTTTATACCGTATTTTCAAAATCGTGAAAGATTTCTATCAATAATGTATGTATGTATGTAGTTGATTTATGTCGCACTGGAGCTGCACAATGGGCTATTGGCAACGGTCTGGAAAACATCCCTGAGGATGATCCGAAGACATGCCATCACAATTTTGATCCTAAGCAGAGGGGATCCTAAGCAGAGAGCACCCCCGCTTCGGTAGCCCGACGACCTGCACTCGAAGTCGAGGACTTTACGGTAGAACAGTTTAACGAGGACCAATACCGCCCACCATCGGTCCCTACGCAGACTGATCCAAGTCGTCACCCACCTGCACACTAAATGCAGCCAGTGATGCTTGACTTCGGTGATCTGCTGGGAACCGTGTCTTAACGATCAGTCCATTGCGGGACGTATCAATAATTCAATAATCAATTGCCAAATTAAATCCGCGAAAATTCAGAGATGGAAGAATTCAAGATATGAAGATGTCCAAATCAGAGGCTGAACTACATCTTTGAGAATAAATCAATTAACTGTCGTAATTTTGTGATTGTTAATGTTAACTACTCATTTGCACAATTCATATTGAACGATACGTATTCCTATTGGTTGCTATCAAGCTGATTGATCATTAACGAATTGTCAATGGAGTGACGTCAGCTTAGAATTCTCCATTGACACTAATTTTTAAAAATGTTAGAATTAAATAATTATTTCTTTATTGTTACCACCAGTGGTGTGAAGGGAACATTCCCTTTGGGAATCATATTCTTTGCTTAGATTGTCGTGAAACATGAAAAAATATATATATATAGAAAGAAAATGTACCTTAATCATTCTCAAAATAACTACACTTAGCTACAATGCAATTTTGACATTTTATTTTATTTTATAACCGTCGTTGAACAGTCGACCCAATTTCATGGGTTTACGACTACTAATGTTCAACTCCGTAGCCTTGTAATTTTGAACCCAATTCAGAAGACAAGGGAGTTCCTGGATCGAGTATTAGGAGAAATTTGCCTTCATGGAGGACTTTTTGAAGGAGCTAACCCGCATTTG